ATTAAGTAAGTACCGTATCGACAATATCTGCCACTTTTCCTTCAGCTACCCATCAGGGTCGAGTACCGTACAATCGTCACTTGATGCGACACCGCTGTCTTTTGTGCGTAAAGCTGGCAACTTCATACTCATATTCAAACATAAGGATTTCCAATGCTAAAAAGTTGCTACTTCAGATGCACGCCAACATTGAAGTTTCTCCAGATATACTCGAGTATTCAAATTTCTAAATAATTTGCTAATAAAATTGAGTTAATATTTTCCAAACTATTGGTTAAGAATTTTTAATTATCAATGACTAATTGACTTAACCACCTTTTATCTGAGTTAGCCTGGGAAGTAAAGTAATGAAAGGTAGGTTCCAACGTACTAACCACTAACTATAGTCAGATGTGTGACGAAGCACCCATTTTGCGACGAGAAATCTACCAGACACAATGAAAGCATTATAAATGCCCGGTGCTTTATTACAATCAGATTCAAGTTGACATGTACAGTATACAGGGTAGGACAGAAAATACATACTTTGCATGAGAATTAGGTTAGGTTAGGTTACTAGAATCCGATAAATCGGAAAAGAAATATATCGATAAGTCTGTATGAGTAGTATGTTGAAAAATCCTTTGAAGTGTAACAAACCGTTATAAAGAAAGCTCTGTCGTGTCGTATTAACTGGAAAATCGATTAATAAAGTTTCAATGGTCTCCCAATTAATAGTCAAACCATTACACTAATAAACATTTTACCAAAGATTTACTTTACAAAGTTGTTATGAATGCAATTAAAATGTTATCTAGAAATACACGCCGAAGTAGGTATATAACTTTGCTAAAGTACGCATTAGAATTTATACCCAATTAAAATTCCTTTACTCGTTTGCGTAAAATGAACGTCTGTAATCTTAATCATTTAGGTCATACTTAGAATATGAAATTTGCTTCCTCGAAAAAACTCGCCGTTTGTATCTTTATGATGTTCTTTAAACATTATCCCACTGAAAGGGAATTCATAAATCTTGGAGTGGTTACATTTTAAGAAGTTCTCGAGGTAAGAGGTAATTTTATTTATTGACGAGTGCATTACTTTCATATATTTACTCGGAAACAAAGATTTGGGTTGGTTCTCGTAAAATGTTCTTTAATCTGTGATATGTATTGCTATTTTAGTTATACATCTAATTTAATAACTCAAATTGCCAAAGGAAACAGTAAATTATATATTATTAAAAAATAAGTTTCTTAAAGGCGCTCTTGTACATGGCGTCTAATGAAACAAATTTCCTTATATATTTATTATTCTTTCTATTGAGAAGGGATTTTTAAGAAATGACGTTAATTACTTTTTTCTACAACTGTCAAAAAACCTGTCATTTTCTGACGGATTTCGAAACGCGAAATACTAGATTTTTAAACGGTTAATTAATACGTAAGGTTGCTATTGACAACGTGCGCGAAATCGTCAACAGTGAAAAAAAGTATTTCGCGCACGTGACAAAGTTGAACTTAAACAGCAAATTTAATTAACAATCGGTTCAGTTGTAGAAAAAATATTGTATATAACGCTAGCGCGAAGTTATTTCGCGCATTTGACTGATATTTTGACTCGGCTTCGCCTCGTCAAAATACCTTCAGTCTCAATGCGCGAAATTGAACTTCGCGCTCTTGTTATATGAATAACTATTATTTTACATAATAAACCTAGGGAATTTTGACATTGCAGTTGCGCCAATACCAAATATTTCACATAGGTATGGAACAATCATCATCATCCTCCATTCGTTCATACAGGTGAAGTGAAATTGTCAGCCTAGTGATATTAATAACAAAACAGGAGCTAAAAGCTCGTTCCCAAAAATGCTGTTGGAATTTTCTCCTGGCGTTGCTACGGCTCTATGTAGATGGTATCGGATTCCCAGTGTGTAATTTTAGGTCTTCTAAATATTTTCAGGAAGACGATTCGCTCGGTAACGCACTATTTTTGGATGTTTGAAATAAACCAACTTAGGCTCCCCGTCTGAGCTGCCTGTGGAAACACTTCACTTCCGACCACGAAAAACTTGTATTTATACCCTCTCTCTTAGTATCTATTGTAGTATCTACGGCGAAACTTTAAAACGACGAAATTGCATTTCTAAGCGCGATTTTTACTTTACATTGCTAAATTCCCTTTTAGCTTCGTCACGGTTAAACAATATCCCAATTCGGGTTAAAGTAAATGTAACAAATATCAACTTCCTTCCAATGCTAAAATACAAAAATAGTGTGCAGGGTTACATGCATACATACATATAGCAATTTTATCAATCAACAAAAATTTCTGTCCAGGGAAATTCCGTTACAACACTTGTTACCAGGTGGGGTCCCCTACTAATAGTACAACAAATATTTATACTTGTAAACTGTAATAGTTTTTGTTTGTAAAGCGCATACATTTTTTTTACATTAGTGACATGAATTGTTTATCTTTCTTATCTTTGGGTCTTGGACATACATAACAGCTTCCTCTTGTTGAGATCCTTCATATCTTTCAGAATTAGCTGCGCTGACAGTACCTTGCACTGTTTGTAGAACCAAATTTATATCGATAACCTTTGTCTTTTGTATCCTTGGTCTTATCACGTTATCACCCATCTTTCCTCTTTTGAATTTGAGGCGCTACAAGTAGTCTGTTAAAGGGTAATTACCTATGATGCTGTAAAGAAAACCGATTGAAGTGGAAGTATTTTAGGTTTGTAGCCGTAAGATTTCCCTACCATGTCTACGTCGTATCCTCCATGATACTCTAATGAAAGGTCTTAACGAAAGGAATTAATTTCTACCAACCATAGCCCTCTTCCTCGACCTCTTATCGTGATCGGATATATTCCCTTATACCTCAAGAACGGATTGTCGGAAGAGAGTACTCACAAAGGGCGATTGAGACGTCTGCAAGGAATATATCCATTGGTGATGTCAAAGAAAAAGCTATTTCGGTTTAAAAAAATGCGCTTTATATGCACAAGAGTTGTGCACAATTTATACTTGTTTTCATCTCTCTAGTCCCTTATGTGAAGATTTAATAAGGTTGGGAAGTGGGGATCTTTGTCTTAGTTCAACACACTTCAGACTCCTTGCCTTGTATTCTTACCCTCACTCTTGTGTCTCCATATAGATCCTTGAGTCTGTCCTTTAGCTTCTTGTCTATTTTTCCATCTTAAACACTTTCTCCCTTACTACTCTGTCAAAGGCTACCTTTAAGTTCATGAAAAACACACACACACACACCCACCCTCACACACCCTCTCACACCCTCTCTCACACACACACACACACACACCTTTCCGTGCTTCTTTCCAATTCCTTTTCCACCAATCTGTGTAAGTGTAATACATATATGCAGCCGATCGTTCCCCTTCCATTTCTGAAGGCCATTTGTGGTTCCTCCAACCACAGATTTAATAAATCTGTTCTCCAACTTTCTCTTTTCTTCCATTTCTCTTTCTAATTTTTCATTCAGTATCATATTGCTTAGATTCTGTACGCCGTCGTCATTATCCTGATCCCCCTATAATTTTATACACGATCTTTGTCACCTCTTTTGAAAATCGGCACTATTACCCCCTCCTACCATCCTTCAGGATTTTAAAATTATAAGAAAGTCTATAATTAACGCACCTTGTCTGTTACTTCAAAACCCCTTAGTTTGCTGTCACTAATTACCGCGGTAGAAAAAAATATCGAGTACGTTACAAGAGTATCGTCTGTCACGGAAAGAAAGGTTCCATTGGTGTTGTGCCGTAATAAATGTATGGGTAAAGCAAAGAGTTACTTCAAATGAAAATAATGAACTTATACCAATGAACTTTCGTACCTACGCGTTAACGATTATTAATTAGGGAATAACACCGGCGTGTATGAGCGACTAATGTCATTAGAAAGCAAACAAAAGGCTTGAGTAATCTATTGGCGTAATTAATGGCAGCTCAATGTGCTTGAAAACGTTATCAGAGAAATTGTCGGAACAAAATAATGACGTGATTCTAGTAGATTGGGGAACAGTTTCAGTGTTAAGCACATGCCCATTTGTCTATGAAACGGGGATTTGTATTGAAAGACGATTTTTAGATCACGCATGAAAAGCACATTAGATACGTGTTATGAAACTTTCGCGTACTAAATTAATAACCAGTGAAGTATATAATACCTCTGAAACATCGCGTGGTAATCAAGAGGTCCCTGAAGTTAGCAGTACTCATACGAGCTCAAAAATTATTTAATGTTTTATTATTTTGAGCTTTTTTTGAGCTTTTCAACGGAAGCACTCTAAATTTTTGAGCTCTCACAGTTACTTTGCAAACTAAATCTGAAAAAAGTTACTGCTAACTTCACGTGAGCAAAACAAATAGCAACTCAAAAATTAAAAATAACTTAATAATTATGAGTTTTTTTTGAGCTTTTCAACGAAATAACTCTCATTTTTTGAACCCTCATAGTTACCTCGTAATTCACAATTGAATAAGTGTACTGCTAACTTCACGTTAGAAAAACAAACTGCAACTCAAAAATTAAAGATTACTTAATAAAAATGAGCTTTTTTTGAGCTTTTCAATAGAACAACTCTCAATTTTTGAGCTCTCATAGTTATCTCGCAAATGAAAGTTTATAAAGCGCACGTCAGTAATACAACTAGCAACTCAAAAATTAAACGTAACTTCATATATGTATATATTAATTTTTTTGAGCTTTTCAATGGAACAACTATAAATTTTTGAGCTCTCGTAGTTACGTCGCAAATCAAAGTTTAAAATGTGTCTAGAACGTCAACTAAGAAGACTAGCATCTCAAAACTCATACATAACTTCATACCTTTATGTTTTTTATCTTCTCTACAGATCAACTTTCAATATTTAATCTCTTAGTTACTAGACACAACAAATTAGTTGAAATAGTAACTAAACAAAAAAAAATTTATTTTTCATACTGTAGTAAACAATAATATAATATATGTTATGTCCTAAATCCAATCATTGTTTAAATAAATATACCCGGTAGATACTTCGTTGTTATGCGCTACCACGAATATATTAAAGAGTGAGGTGACACAGAGGTGTCGCCGCTTGCTCTGGACACTTTAGTTTTGAGATCGTCGAACACCTCCCACGTACCATCACACCTTAGACTATACCCTATGTAATGTCCATCATCACTTGCAATGATAGGGGCTTTATAATTAATTACCCCTCGTAATCGATAGGTTGATTTGTGGAACGAGATCACAGGAGGTATAGAAGACAGAAGACAACGAATTAGTTCTTCCGTGCCAACGTCCTGAAATTGTGCATTAGGGCTTCGCTTATTTTCATTTGTCGACAAGATTTCCATAAACAGCAATGAAGACGGAGTGTAGGTCCTCTCTATTACTCCAGAGCAGTAATAGTTTACTGAAATCAAGTAAGCAAATATTCTAAATAATCGGTTTCTCTAGTTTAAAATGCAAAGGTGGGTTAAACAGCATATGAACTAACAATATGCTAAACACGGCGTGTTTCATTATTTTTATACTCTAACTTGTTATTGATTAAAGACCTAAAAGTACTAATTGTTTTCACCACAACCTACTCAATACTACGTGATACTGGGAACAGATTAAAATCTATAGTAACGATTCTTACAAAAAATTGTTCACATAGATTTTAAGCTGGTCTTAGTACTAATTACATGTTAAACTGCATAGGTATATAGCGGGACTACCGAATTTCTTTTTTGTGAACGTCTGTACAAATAGTAAATTCCAATTATAATTAAGTGTTAGTTGTGTTTGTTCTACGGTTTAGTGCAATAAATAAACGGTGAAATTACCTTTGTCTTCTTTGGTTTCTGGATCTGTATAAACATCAGAATTATACCAGTTTTGTGGAACTTCCGTCAAAAGTTTTTTGCTGCATATTTGACCAGGAACTATTTGTTGGATTGCATCCTGCAAGTTCTTTAATCCCAGCTCACCTAACCCTTCGGGGTCTATACGTACTATATGGTACTTCTTATTGATGTTTGGTTCTGGACAATAGGGCGAAGGACAATGTATATGTTCGGTAAAACTTTCGGGACAGTTTGTTACTGTGTACATATGTGCAGCAGTAGTTACACAATCGTGCGAAATAACTCCACCTACAAGTTCTTTGCCAGGGAATGCTTGCGTCAAAATAGAGGAACGCATGTTAGTAGCCTGAAGACCTGCTCTTGACGTTTGTGCAAGGTACTGCGCAAGACGAAGCACTTCACAAGGGTTCTCCATAGACTCAAAACAATCCCTAACTTTTAAACTGTCTACATAAATACAAGCTAAAACTTGGACAATGCTATCGAATGCACACGTGTTTTTAAGTTGCATTATTTTTCCACTAGACCTTTTAGGTTTTGCAGATATGAGGCCACCATTTCTTAAAAACCCTACCTTTGGAGCATTTCTCACGTTGCTTTCCTCAATTGTAGCCCATTCAGGACACGGGCCTAAGTATCTCGCCTTCCTCTTCGTTTTTGGAGACCCACCTAAACCCTTCCAGTGTTCAGTTTCTCTCGATTCTTTAATTATGGCTTGGTGTTTGGGGGATAAAACCACATTATCTAATCGATCAATAAGATACGGTGCAGAAGGATTAGATTCCGTGAGTAATTTTTCAAACGTTTTTTCTCTTGCAGTGGAACTTGAACTAACATTTGGAGCGCTAATCAACTTCGCGTTGCACTGAATACAACGTCTCCTTTGACCGTAGCCTTCATCTTCACCATTAGTGTTTACGGGAACGGAGCAGAAATCAAGATTATGGATGGCTTTCTTACAGTTCACGCAAACGTGAGCACCTCCAGGTAGATTTCCTTCCAAACACAAAGAGCAAGTAAGAAGGTTAGATGTTTGAGAACAAAATGCGTACTCTGAGGTATTTTCATTGTTTGGTGAATATGAAGATATATTTTTGCTTGCCGAAGGTAAACTTACTATTTCTTCTAGCAAATTAATATTTGGAGGCTGTCCATCGTTTGAGTTGATAATTTTATCTGTTTCTTGAACAAAGTCGGTCGCACCAGCAAGTTTTACTGCCCCGTCAATGTATTTGTAATATTCTATTAAAAAATTATCTATTCTCATTGGAAGTTGTAATTTTCGTGTTTTTAAATCGTTGTAGGTGCTTTCTACGCCAGCTGATGATGGTCGACTGTCTACTCTAAAGTAGTCATTCATAACTTTTGACCATAGTGGAAAACGAGAAAAAAGATGTAAAAGAGGTTTAACCACCCGAGGCAGGAACATCATATTGTCTCGATCACCATCCGCGCTTTGTTGCACCAAATCTCTGCTAGCGCTTTCAATATCTTTTACCCAGGCCTTTCCTGTTGCGGCCATGTCTTCTACGTTTGCATCGTCAATAAGCAGTGGAGAGATTGGTCTTGTTTCTTCTCGAATTGAGGCGTCATATTCGGATTGATACGGATCTGTTGTTCCCAGTATTTCCTCGATGGCGTTGAATGTTTCCGGCAATCCTGCAGTTCGATAGGTATTCTTAAGAAACATTTTTTTTTCATCTGAAGGCGTGTTTTCTCCTGTCAGAACCGACACCCCTTCACGTTCACTAAGAGCTACTGTGAGGATAGCTTTCATAATTTCAGCTGCGGCTTCTATTGTGCATGTATCTACAAGAAGTCCTACGCCCTTTAGATAAAACCTACGAACTAAACGCGGCGTTCTATTTTTATCTAGTTCTTTCCATCCACCGACGGCCTTTAATATATGCGCTACATCTAATCTTACATAACAAGCGGGCATATCTGATTGAGAAATTTCTCCTTGGAGAAATTGAAAGCATTTATTAATGTAAGATTCTGTATCGGGCATTTTAGCAAAAGCTCTACAAACAGCACTCACTAATGCCCCACTGTCATCAGTCACAACTTCCTTTGGTACAGCAGCGCCGAGACGGATAAATTCCATCATCCAGTACTGAATAGCTACAGCATTGTGTCTAGCAGAAAGCATTTGGGCAACTGGAATTTGAGATTTACCTTTCCCTGGTATATTTATCACCATTATATAAAGGAAAAAATGGCCAGATAATGTTCCTCCCGGGCGAGGAAGTTTGTGTACAAATTTACCGCTGGCGTCTATTGACAATTTAGAATGACCTTTGCTATGACATGCATTGAACACTGTCTGTTGTTCAGCGGTCCAAAAGTGAACGAATTCAAATCCTACCTCGTGTATCATTAATCCAATAGGCTGAAGATACTGAAGTCTATGGACAGCAATCATTGGATCTTTGTGTAAACGTTGACCCGTAATCCTCTCGGAAAGTGCTTTTGAGTATACCCCTAACCTTGGCAAATTTGGTGGTTCCAGTTCTCCGTGTCGCATTAAGTTACTCGCATCATCGTTGCGAGTTTTGCTTGGAGCTTCTTTGCGGACAATCATTTGGTTAACTTTTTCTGTTCGTTTAACGGATTTGAGTTGTCTTCTAGTTGTATGCTTCATGCTTAAATCACCTTCCTTTATTGTAATGTTAACAATAACGTTTGTACCATCATGTGGTTTTTCATCAACGCTTCCTTCTAACCACGCTCCGCAGTCTACACATCTTGCGCTGAATACTAAATATTTTTTAGCGTTATTTGTTTTTGCCACTTGATGGTTCTTGAAACTCCAACAACAATATATTCGCTTTTTTTCTATTATCATATCGGCGATAACATCAGTCCAAACGCCTCGTCGTAGCCTGTCCATATCTCTAGACTTTTCGTGTACTGTAGTGGGTGCAATGAAAGCCCATTTTTCCGCAGGTATTGAAATGAAAAAATCGCGGTAGTGATTGGCATCCACTTCTTCGTTTTCCTGGGAAGTGCTTGATTCTTCAGATAGTTCTTCTATACAAGGCGGTCTATAAACGTGATTTTTTTTCAAACCCAAGATGTCTCCAATTCCATATCTGCATTCGTGAAATGCGTTGTGAAAACCTTTTAATGACATTGTTACTTTGTATTTGAGTATCAGCTCAGCCCACACTGCATTGGATCTTGGCAATATTTTTCCGTTTAATACCACCACAGCTGCCTCATTTCGTGCAATTTCTCTAAGCTTGTCGGCATCTACAGTAGGTGGCCTACCTCTTCTTCTTGGGATACTTTTTGGGTTCAACCTGTAAATCATCAACGTACATCGCGATTATTTGTCTGATTAAAATGTCATACAATACAAATAGTGAAGTAGGACGGGTTCTGGATCAAAAAGTCACTAAAAAAGCCATCAGAAAAGTACTAGATTGTCAAGGTCAAATCGGTTCGCGTCTCTGCTACATTTCTCTTTGCACTATTCGGTTTATCCGTTTATAGACCTGTTGACCTGTTTAACTAAACAGATATTCGCAATAGGTCGATTCAACATTGAGCTGTTTAGTTTATTTGTTCATTTTATCTGTTTATCTGTTCGTTATATCTGTTTAGCTGTTCATATACCTGTTCAGCTGTTCAATTTACCTGTTCAGCTGTTCAGTTTACATGTTTAGATGATGAGTTTAAACAGGTCAACAGGTAAACAGACTTGTTTATCTGTTTACTTGTTGAACCAACCTATTGCGAATATCTGTTTAGTTAAACAGATCAACAGGTCTATAAACAGATAAACAAAATAGTGCAAAGAAAAATGTAGCAGAGACGCGAACCGATTTGACCTTGAGAATCTAGTAACTTTTCTGATGGCTTTTTAGTGATTTTTGATTCAGAACTCGCCCTACTAGTTCACAGACATTAACTGCAATTCTGAGAAAAATGTAGCAGAAATGTAAACCTATATGACCTTGACATACTTATCCAAGTTACAATCCTACAATTATTAGAAAAATGTTTCAAAGTCATCTGAAATGACCTTGAAATCACATTGAGCAATAACCTTGAGAATCTAGTAACTTTTCTGGTGACTTTTTACACGGCCTTCAGAATCTATAGTGACTTTTTGATCCAGAACCCGTCCTACTTAACTACTAATAATTTTTGTTTATTTATAGAGTTGCGTGTTACCTTGTGTAGGTCCATTTTATTCTTTATAAATAAGTAATAATACTCAATCTACACTGGATTTTCAAATAAATAAATAAATTCATTTTCCAGTGTAGATTGAGTTTTATTACTTATTTATAAAGCATAATTTTTTGTATTTATATATTTGGTTTTTAACATTTATACATTATGCGGTCCCACTAAGTCATAGACTTAACAGCGGGTTCCGTTCATAAATTTCATGGTACATACAAATTTATGGAAAATAATAAATTCTAATTTCTAATTGACGAAGGGGGACGTATTGACCTTACTTCACGTACAAAGTATGAGAAGTAATAAATATAGTACCTATCATTTTTGAGTTGTCTATTAGTTATCACAGCGATAAATCAATCGCGGTAAAGTTACTATTCGATACACTAATTTATAATTGAAAAAACTGAAATGTTGGCAACAGTTCTATGCGAAACTTACCTTTCTGGCGGAGACGCATCATTTGGAGCATCATTTTTATAACAATCTGATTCATGGCTCTGTAAGATACAGGACATTAATTTATGTATAATTGTATAATACGCTTAAAAATGGAATTTTCCCATGAATGAAGAAATGATTTAATTACAAATAGTATTGTCTACTATAAATTGTAATACACATACAGTACTGTTTCTACTAGGGATCGACCGATACCGATATACGTATCGGCCTATCGGCCATGTCGACCAACATACCGATAATCGGTATCGATCTATTTGGCCGATATATCGGCCGCCGATAGTTATTGCAAAAACCACAGAAAACGCTGGAACATATATACCTATTTATAATAGGTATCTAAAGAAAAGTATTAAAATAATTTACGTACGACACTACCTACAAACATTGTTAAGGGCAATCCTTTGTGATCTAACGACAGCACAGCGGCATTTCAACCGTACAAAGATAAAGATCTAAAACTAAGAAGAACCCTTAATTCGGGCTTACGCCTATAAAATATTAACTATTAATCAAACATTCAAAGGTGCAATAAATTCTCCAAGCAATTATTTATATACAATGTAATATCGGTATCAGCCTATATCGGTATCGGTCTTTAATATATCGGTATCGGCCAAATTATTTCTATCGGTCGATCCCTAGTTTCTACAACCTAAAAAGCTTTTAACAATACGACTTTTCAAAAAATGCAACACATTGGTGGAACTTTCTATTTCTATTTTCTAATATTGAAAGCTAGATACGTCGGATACGTCCATAGTGATCAAGGCGGAATAAAACTGACCTCACACCACAGGCATAAAAGAAAACGAATGAATAACTTACCTCCATTTTAATAACTAATCAACGTGTAAAATATTTAGATATAAGTAGTACGAACGACACAACAAACGAGAATTAAACAATGTACATGTACTGCTGTTTAGTGAACGACGAACGTGACTCATAATATTATAGACAGTTTTGTATGATGTAGACTGTTGTCTTAGCAAAAATAACCTCTTCTACAAAATCAGCATATTATAAATTATAAAAAGTAGCTAAGTTGCAGTTTTTAATTTTGTAATGAGACGTATTATAGTATAATGTATTGTAACGGAAACGCTCCAGACATGGTGTCGCCTTTCGAACTCCTGAAAGGTTCTTAGCGCGACAGTGGAATTCGCATTGGAGACACATCTGGAAGTTATGTGAGCATTCGGGACCTGCATTGCTTGCGTTTATAAATGGTTGCGGATCGCACATCGCAGTCAGTTCACTACCGTCGGAGATCGAGTACGCACGACAGTTCGAGAGCGCGAATGAATATCTGATATAAATGGCGAAGTGAGTGTAATATAAATAGTCGATATAAATTGTACAGTTATTATAGCGTTTTAGTTTTGTTTAATAAATATTGATATAAATCGAACCCGAATTTATAAATCACGTTACAGTATATTACCATACCTAGTCCATAATAATATTATAGATAGGAACTTCGATTTACATTGAAGTTGATACGGCCACGGACGTCTATCCGGTATGCCGGGTATTACGGGAATTATTTATGACATCTTTATTTATGCATTTGCTAAAAAAAAGCTCATATTTATTAAGTAATCTTTAATTTTTGAGTTGCAGTTTGTTTTGCTAACGTAAAGTTAGCATAACATTTATTCAATTTTAAATTACGAGGTAACTATGAGGGCTCAAAAATTGAGAGTTATTTCATTGAAAAGCTAAAAAAAAACTCATAATTATTAAGTTATTTTTAATTTTTGAGTTGCTATTTGTTTTGCTCACGTGAAGTTAGCAGTACATTTATTCAATTTTGAATTACGAGGTAACTATGAGGGTTCAAAAAATGAGAGTTATTTCGTTGAAAAGCTCAAAAAAAACTCATAATTATTAAGTTATTTTTAATTTTTGAGTTGCTATTTGTTTTGCTCACGTGAAGTTAGCAGTACATTTATTCAATTTTGAATTACGAGGTAACTATGAGGGTTCAAAAAATGAGAGTTATTTCGTTGAAAAGCTAAAAAAAAACTCATAATTATTAAGTTATTTTTAATTTTTGAGTTGCTATTTGTTTTGCTCACGTGAAGTTAGCAGTAACTTTTTTCAGATTTAGTTTGCAAAGTAACTGTGAGAGCTCAAAAATGAAGAGTGCTTCCGTTGAAAAACTCAAAAAAAGCTCAAAATAATAAAACATTAAACAAATTTTGAGCTCGTATAAGTACTGCTAACTTCAGGGACCTCTGAAGATAAGGAAAAATTTGCAGCAAAGTAATTGTAGGAGAGGTGTGGATAAACTCGAAGAATTAGAAAAGGTGTTAACTCGAGTAATTGAAAGACGTGGAAGAATTGTTGAGAAAATTGAAAACTTGTACGAACTAGAACGGGTAATTCTCAGAATTGAAGAAGCCGAAGAAGTGATTGGAATGGAAGAATTGCAAGACCTTTAGCACTCTGAGCTCTTAAATAACTTGCAGTTCCTGCAAATTTGTACAATGGCTTCGATCTATTTTCCTTATTACTTTACCTGAAATATCCGCCGTGCTTCGAAGTTATATGTCACAGTGAAAATTGTCACGTTACACCTGCTCTCTTTATTTTTCATGCGTATCCTAATCTAACTTGCAGTTTGTCTACACTTTATTATTTTTTTTTTGAGATATGAATTTAATTATTTTGTTGTTTAGTTATGTTAAGATTTTGAGTTTTTGTTGTGTTTCTTTCTTTTTCTTTTTTCTTATTACACTAAATAATTGCGCAATCCAAAAATTATGCAATACTATTCGCGCTTGAGAACGTCCATAATTAAGTATTAAAATTGTGCAAATTACAAACGCACGCGGTTTTAATTTCTCGGAAACCATAGAAAATGTAATCACACCTTCCCAATATTGAAATATGTTACGGTCCTTGAGGTCGGCTTGTATAAAAGGCAGAGCGAGAGAAATGTATTAAGCTACAAAATGCATATCGCCCAGGTTCTACTCACTATTTCTACAGTCTTCGTTGCTGCCTCCGCTTTTGAGGCTCAGGTGAGAACCCATCAAGCTTTCATTATAATAAATGGATTCTTCCCCAGGTGGAAACCCAAGCAATATTCGACAGATGGAGAAACCGTATCGCACAGGAGCATCCAGAGTGCTCGGAAATGTGGCCCATAACGGACCAGGAGAAGGATACGTTCTTTCGCCAGCACGAATTGACGGACACGCCCACTTTCAAGTGCTACCTTAATTGCATCCACGTTAAGTTTAATCTTATCGACGAGGACGGAAATATCAACAGGGATGAGCTCTATAATATGTTCGAGAGGATGACCTACCAGATGATGGACATTTGTGATGCTGGGGTTGTCGAGAAGACCGACAAGTGCGAGAGGATCTTCGAGTTTGTCAATTGCGTATTGCATTACGAAAAGGTGTACGCGAGTTAGCGAGTACATCCAAACCTTTTGCGCATTTGATTTTCAGATTCTCAAATTTGTTGGTTTACAGGGGTCTTAAATGGAAATTATTTTCTCTATTAGTATACTCTACAGTATGTGTATTTTCTTTCTGTCTAGAACCTTATTCAGTTACACTTCATTTTACCGAAACGGTTAGAAGGCATGGAATTTTAATTGCCATCATCCATATTTTATTAATCTCTGGTAATTGGATTCATTAAATTGGGAATTATGCGGTAATTAGGACGGATTGATCTGTGGTAGGTGTTGTGGATAAGGGTGAAAGTAAAATAAATACAACTAAAATATAATTTATTTTAGAATCAAAAATGAATCTTAAGAATCGCTGAACCGAACTCGACTTATCTTAACAAGTGCTGTGGACCTACTGTTCGAAACTACCGATTGTGTAACACATGTGCAACAAAGTACATTTCGGATGACTCCCAGGAAGTCATGAATTATATGAAAGCTTCTATTCCTTAACTCGTAAATAACACCCTTGTCGGTTAAAGAATAGACCCTTAATATTTAAACTACTTGTCGGTTCAGCGTTTTATGCACATTTGTGCAACGTAATTACTAGAAGTTAATACCGGAAATTTCGTCCGCTACAGATCCATAGATCTCCGTAGGGAGAATATAATTTGCGTTCTATCTCGTTATCGTAAGTACCGCCATTTGCATTTCCCGCAATTGAAGTGTACCTTCTCTTTAGGTTTCGGCTGATATTTGTCATATTACAGTTTCTATTGACGATTGTTGCATTAGTAGCCCTTTTATTTAAGAGGTACGTACATTTTAGTTTGTCAAGAAAGTGGGTTTACTTCTAATTTTCTTTTAGGGTTTTAAATGTAGGGTTCCAGTAAATCTACTTTTAATTGATCAGCAACATATTTTCCTTCCCGGTTTAGAGATAGTTAAATGATAAACAGTGGAGAGCAATTAAAGGTAGTGCTAAGCGAGGTTTAAAAAAAGGGAAAGAACTCAAGATTAAATCGGGGAAACAGCAGTAAAACAACATTCCAAAGAATATAAGTAAAAATTAATAATAACAAGGCCGATCCAGCAGTTAAAATTAATGGAAAACGTTGTGGTAGAGTAGGCAACACAACATACAGAGGAGGTACAGTGGGTTGCAAAACCGTTAGCTGTGGGGAGACAGTAGGTACAAAAAAGGAGACGAATTAGTAAGGCAAACTCACTGATAGATGGAATACGTAAAGAGCCCAGAAGCAATATAAGAAGAGAGTGGGGAAGTACAAAAGGAGGTAAGACAACTAGGGAAGAATAAAAACAATACAGGAATGGCGTAAAAGAGCTCAAAATGGAGAAAAGGTACTCTCAACTTCTTCTCCTCTATCCTTTTCTTCATTTCTCCAACATTGTTCTGTATCTGTCTCTCTTCTATACTCTCTTTGTTCTACCACCCATTTTTATGATCTTTCCATCTCTATCTTCATTTACCTCTTGCACGTTGTTGCCTTTTTAATACTCCCTTTCAAATTTGCCTACCCGTACTCTCTCCTATTTTTCCTTTTTGTTCCTCTAATCTCCTTTCCCCTTGTATCTTCCCTTTGAAATTCGATTCTATCCTTGTTCCTATCTGAATTTCTTCCAGTATTTTCTCGTTCACTAGTATGTAAGGAATTACCGACACCCCTCTTCCATCCATGAGTCTGTATTGGCCGTCCCTTTATCACCCTCTATATTTCCGTATAAAATTTTCTGATAATTCTGATAATTCCTTATTTCTTGACTTTCTATCTTCCCACCTCTACTCCTTTTCCTTTATTGTCTGTTCTGGCGTTTAAATCTCACTCCAATATTAGCTCCTCAACCGCCATTTAATTTACAATATTTTTTTACACTTTAACCCCTTCTCGACCATACATTTTTATTTTATTTTATTTTGCCTTTATTTTTGAGCGGGCGGGGTTTCAGCCAAGTCTGCTCTACCAACCCAACCCACTGTACATTTACAAATATCCATGCCCGTACCCGGATTCGAGCCAGGGACCCTTAGCACCACAGTCCAGACTTAACTGAACTGTGCCACACGGGCCGGATAGTTAACCGTCTAATTTTTCCCCCTCCACTTCCACTTCCTCTTTGCTTTCACCCACTCTCATTATCTCCCCCATTCCATTATCTCTTTTCTGCTTCTGTTAATATGCATCCTTTTGTGAGGAAACGTGTCTTTGGAGGACATGGAATACCCCCAGTGTACAGCGGTACCATTGTCATTTCCAAAACCCATGAGAATACCGAGGGTTAAAGGGAAAGAGGTCACCAAGTGGTCTTTTGCCGAGGACTCTTCGTGCTGGGGGGTATTTCATACTCCCCAGAGCCACCGGTGCTACGATCAATGCAATACTTATTTGCAGAAGAGGACCTAAAAAGTATTATGAGGGCCCTGAGGGCTAAGCGATAGTTCCTTTGTCATTTCCAGAAATACTACAATTATTTATTTATTGATTTATTTATTTATTTATTTATTTATTTATTTATTTATTTAATTTATTATTCCCATCTTGTTCTGGACCCTCAACGGGCTTGCGTCCAATTACATAGTTACCCGCATAATGCTTTTTTTCAGTCTCGAGGGTTAGGGGAAGAGAGGAGAGTAGATGACCAATGTATGTTCTGGACCAGGAAGTGACGTCACACCACTCAGAAACGAGATCGTAACGTCACAGCCAATCGTTTGTGAATTTCGGGGAGAAGACCATCAAATGTTAGCTTTCTGGTAAATATTATGTACCGCACGTCCAAAAAGGAAGATTCTTAATTACCATTTTTGAAACATTGTCTGGAAACCGGCGCTTTTGGGACAAAGTAGCAACCGCCGTCGTTTTGTGGGATATGTGATACCTCCAAGGAACGTAGTGCTCGAGAATAAACTCCAAGACCACCGAGACGCTTGCTATTCTCAAAATTCTGGAGGAAATTATGAAATTTTGATTTCCTGGTAATCCTCGCCACGCATCTCATCCTACTTTTCCTACTAAAGGGATAATTTTGTTCATTATTCTTGAAGAAAGCTTATGCTGGAGGACCTATACATCGACTTCCTCGTCGGTAACCGGCCATAGTCGCAAAAACCAAGCGCTCCTGCAAAATTGGGTTCTTCCATGTTTTTTTTTTTATTTCACGCATCGATTGGATTGTGTTCCTTGCGTCACACTGTAAAGCGAGTGTACCAAACCCGACTGCAGAAATTACATGTAAAAACTTGAACATTTTGCACATAGTTCAATGAAAGAAGTAGACGAAGGCGAGCATCCTGCACGAAATTATATACAGGGTGGCTCTTTCGAGACACACTACTAACACTTCGGTAGACTACCCCGCACTTTTCTATCATACTAGTGTTACAAAGACTCTTGTATTTTCTCCGTGGGAATTTGCATAGTGAACACCCTGTATATTAGGAAAAACTAATCTGAGACATACATATAATGTTATCCGGTGTTTCGTTTTCCCAGCATTCAAGTCCAAACCTTGCTACATGAGAGGTTATGCAAATTGACTTTTGAGGGGTCATTAATATCTATTTAATTAATTAATTTATTTATTTATTTATTTATCAATGTGCAAATGTTACAGTTGTGATGTCTCACTTGTTTTCGCTTTTTTCATTACTCAATGGTAACTTTCCAAGATTATCACTATATTCTTTGGAAATACATTTAGACGCTTTAGGAACTAAAGGAGTGAAGGAATTACTGAATTAATGATTCTGTTGAATTCATTCAATTATTATTACTGAAACACTAATAATTTAGAAAAAATGAAAAATATTTCCAACATTTTTAGTAGGCCCAAAAAATACAGGAATCAGAAAAATATTATTATTATCTAAAGAGAGTCATACTTGCTCCCGCCTAAACAATTTGGACAAATTGGAATCAGAAAATTTAAAAATGGGAAATAGACGGGAATGAAAGAGCGAAGTCAATGGAATAACAGGAAAACGTAGAGAAAGTAGAACAATGGGAGAAGTGAAAGAGCTCGATACTCTGGATGATTTCGGGGAAAACCGTGGTAAATCTCAGAAGGTGTAAGTGCCGAGGGAACGCAAGGATTCTTAAAGCTTTTAAGAACTGGCAGAATCGGTGTAGCTGAGGGAAGTTGAAAAGTTGGATAAAGTCTATAACAGCCCGTAGCTATGGAATCCAAAAATTGAGCAATGTAAATTGCGCTTGAGAACGTTCATAAATAAACATCGAAATAATTTGCAAATTACAAGCACACCGTATAAATTTCTTTTGAAATCTTAAAAGAAGGTCATCACAAAAATATATTGAAATATATTACGGTCCTTGAGGTAGACTTGTATAAAAGCTAGCGTGAAACAAGTCCATTAAGTTGCACAATGAGCCTTTCACAGGTTCTACTCGTTTTTGCTTCGGTCCTCGTTGCTGCCCGCGCTTTTGAGGCTAAGGTAAGAGCTCACCAACCTTCGCCTTTTTTTTAATAAATTCATTCCTCCTGAGGTGGAAACCCAAGCAATATATGACAGATGGCGAAACCGCACCGAACAGGAACATCCCGAGTGTGAGAAAACGTGGCCCATAACGAACGACGAGAAGGATGGGTACTTTCGCCAGCACAAAGTGACGGATACGCCCACCTTTAAGTGCTACCTCAATTGCATCCACATGGCCTTTAATCTTACGGACGAGAACGGAAGGATCAACAGGGATCAGTTCTTTAAGACGTTCGAGCGGATGACCTACCAGATGTTGGACTTTTGCGATGGAAGTGTTGTGGAGCAGACCGACAAGTGCGCGCAAATTTACGATTATGTCGACTGCCTAATGCATTACGGAAAGGTGTATGCTTGAATCCCTTTGGGGTGTAGAAGTACTAGATTTTCAACTGTAGGCTTGAATACCCCGAACGAGGGGCGAGTTACGGGTCCTTAAGCGGGGGACTGCTAACAAAAACTCTTTGGTTGAGAATCTCTGTGCGATAATAGGTAGCGATTCGCGTGTTTCCACATATTTTGTTGTTAAGGTTGGAGTTGACCAAGGCCATGTAAATTTCCATGCAGTTTTTCACAAAGGATTTGTGCTACCTGCTAACCTGCTTGTTTTCAAATTTGATTGCAACCAACATTGAGTATTTGAGCAATTAGTGTGTTTCTTTAATTATTGCTCAAACTTTTTTTGGATTAATTAATCAAATGTCTAGGTTTTTCTCAGCCGTACTTGGCACTCTCTCGTTTTTCGAGTGTGACACATTTTTGACTTTACTTGTTTTGCTTTTAAACATTAACGTACACCGAATAACCTTCATAGGTTTCAAATCTCCATAATAATATTATTAATAAACAAACTTTCACCAATTTCAGTGTTTTACTTTGCATTCCTTCCCTACGGTACTTCTGGTCTTAGGCCTTAAGTGTTTGATCACGTCCGGTTGCTTGTTTCCACTGAGCCTGGACACGCAGTCTTTGATCCTGGCCCTGACAACGGGGAGAAAAATTCCTAGGGTAAGCTCGGACTCGACTAGCACCACACTATTACCTTCCCGAGCCAGCTCGTTGCCCCCTATTCCGCAGTGCGGTGGAACTCAGATCAAGTTGACCCTATCATTTAGCCGCATTTAAGCCGTCCGAGCCTCTGCCTCTATAGCTCAATGTAAAGACTCAAGTTTCAGAAGTGCCCCCATGGCCAAAGTTGGCGTGGTTTTAATGGTTCCAGTGACTCCTCGACAGGCGAGTCTTTGTACCTTTCCTATCTGCTTCCTGTAGCTTATCCTGCGCATACCAGGACATCATAATTATTTATCTTATCACAAAAGTGTAAAGCCAATGTACCAGTCGAGGGCCCCTGTACATTCAGAAAGGCTTCTACATGCACATAGGCCTTTTGATTATTCGCCCAATGTGCCCTTTCTAAGTCAGGTGGAAGTCTATGATAGCTCGCAAATATTACATTGACCTGTCCAGGCCCAGTTTACGTCCTAGAAGAGTGACTCGCCCAAGGTCCTCTCTCCTTCTATTCGTAAATGGAACGTGTAGTCTCTTCGGAGTCGCACGGAACCAATCCACCAAGTACCTGCTGCGTCCCTTGCCATCTTCAGCTGAAGTGAAAGAGTGTGATATTTACCCTCCAAATAATGACCTTGGAAAGTCATGTACTTTACTCAGCGATTATAAAAACCTCCGCATTTATGCGTATCGAATTATATGATGTCAAGTGATAGCCATATAGGGCGATTCTAAATCAACTCCATGAATAATTCCATAAGGATGAATTCGGATGTCTTCAAAGTTTTCTAGCTCTCTTTTGAAGAGGAAGTTCAAAAGTTGCTCGAAGTTCGAAGTTCAAAAGTTGAGCACCGTTCAAAATCCAAAGGTTGGTCGCCATTCAAGACCCAATTTTGTGGTGTTATATTTTATTTTTACAGTAACTAGGGATCAATATCCCCAGTTTTGGGGTCTCATATCTCATTTTTAAAGTTATCAACGTTTATTCAATTTTTAAAATCATCAAAGGTCAATGTACCGAATTGTTTGAGGTCAATAACTCCTTTTTTGTGGTGTGATATTTTATTTTCCTGGGAAACACTCAAATTTTGTGAGCCATATAAGGTCGACTTTAATTTAACTCAATGTAAAATCTCATACGGCGATTTTCTATTGGTAATGTCAATTTGTGACTGAACAGATGTCTCAAAGTTAACAAGGTTAAAATTGCTTTCAATTGGTTCAATAGCTTCCGAAAGGCTTAAGATGGAAAATCATTGAAAGTATACCTACTTTCAGAGGGCGAGGGGAAAATTGTAGCTCAAAAAGTTTAAAAGGTTCAGGAAAATTCAGGTTATTAAAAAGGTTCCTTCAAAAAGCCCTGAGGTTTTGACACCTTTATCGTACTTAGGAGGACACTTCAAAGGATTAAAAAAAGCTTCGAAGATAATATATTTTAATAATAACGTTATCGTTTTGAGGATTTTAAGGTATCCCACCTAAGGCTGTTTGCAGTTCTACACTTTTTAGGTTCGAGGGTTTCGAGTTTCAGGTTTAGGCGTTACGTTGGGAATTTCAAATTCTAAAATATCAGTTTTCCAACACTGTAAAGCCGTAGAATCGTTGAAAATGGTGAAGGCCTATGAATCTTCTAAGCGCTCTGAACTTTTTTGACCTGCTTGAAACTTCGTAACCTAAAACTTCAACTTTTCACTTAACTTCCTTAGAAATATTCAAAAAACTTCATAAAAATCTTCAAAATCTTCATTAAATATTCTAATAACTTGCCTTCAAGTTTGCTTCACTCCATTAAACTGCAATAAACTTCACTAAACTTCACTAAAAAAAAAACATATTATATAAAAAACACTGACAAATATTTACCCTCTTTTTCAATGTGACTGTCACGTCACTGCGATTTCACGATATCATGTTTTCTTTTTTTGTCCTGATATTTTGAATTGAATTATATAACATTTCTTCTTTTTTTATGATTAACTGCTTTAACGTCTTGAATCTTGATTTTATTTGCCACTATTTCATGCTTATTTTCTTCAAATTGTTCCTTTTTCGGTTCTTTTCTAATTTTCTGATAGTAATTTTGAACGTAATAAATTGAATTTGTTTGCTCCTTGCTCCTATGGAATTTCTGAGGAACGAGTGGAGATCTGGTCCCCTCCTAGGTTTTCCGAATCTCGGTTGACGTTTGGATTGGACCCCCGCCAGCATTCATGGTTTCGATTCGAGTCGTACCTTCCTCTGATGTAGTTCATCCGCCTCTACTGATCTAATCCATATTTGTTTGGATGACTATAGACCTGTACTTGAACTAGAAATAACTTTCAGCCATTAATTTCCGCATTCTCACACGAAACAAACCGAAAAAATTCACCGCATCAAAATCGCTCGTTACAGCACCCCCTTCTATTTTTTAAACGAAGAAAACCTGATGCGCTTTGAAAAACAACAAAAGAAACAAGAGCGTTTCTTCAAAATAAATAAAAATGTGACCCACAAAAGAATTTTATTCTGAAACTCCTAATCGATATATACTAACAAAATGGCAAAATTCAAAAAATACTAAAATCCTAAATCTATCCTATTCAACCCAAAAATCCTAAAACCTAATCAAGAAAAAGACAAAAAACATAAAAAATTCAACTTTTCACTTAACTTCCTTAGAAATATTCAAAAAACTTCATAAAAGTCTTCAAAATCTTCATAAAATATCCTCATAAATTGTCTTCAACTTTGCTTCACTAGACTAAACTCTTCAACTCTTTAACTTCACTAAAAAACCATATATAAAAAACACTATAAGAAATATTTACACTCCTCACTTTATTTAAATGTTCATTTCACTGTCACGCCACTGGCACTTCACGATATCATATTTTCTTCCTTTTCTTCCAGTTGATAAAGTTTACATTCTTTTAAAATGGGTCTTCAAACACCTTCCCTGTCTTGAAACTTAAAAATGTTCTTCACTTCCTCGTCTTTATAACTGATCTCCGTCCATTTTATCCTTATCACTGGTTTAATTTTCTAATTTCTTCTTGTGGTTTCACTTCTTCGCTATCCCTTCATATTTGGTAATTTCTCGATTTCTTCGACTTCTACTTGGTCTTCATCAAATTCTTCTTCACGCAGCAACTTGCAATACTGATCCAACTCTACTTCTTCTCGAATCTTCACCTTCTTTTCTTTTAACTTCGGTTTCTCTTCATATCCCGTACTATCTTCTTATTCACGTCCTTTAATGTAATCGCTTCTTGTTCTTTTTTGAAATATTTTAGCTCTAAAGCAGCTATTTGTTTTTCTGGTGTCTTCTTCAGTTTCACAATAAATTCCTGAGATCTCAGCAGATCTTCTTTGGCTTAGAGCAACCTTTCTTGAAACATTTTTTTTTCTTTGCTTACTAATCTTCACTTCTTCTGAATCTCCTACTCCCTCCAACTTCTCTAAAATGCCTGGACGAACTTGAATAATGAGAAAAAGGTGGAAAATTCGTGACTTGACAGGACTCATAAAAGTTCTAGATACTCGAAGAATTGGAAGGCGTGGGAATTGGTAAGAAAATTGAAAACTTGGAAAAACTAGAAAGAAGGGGTGACGATAATAGAGAAACCGAGTCCTTAAAAAACCTGCTTCAATCTATCTTACTATACTATAAACAAGTTGTAAATCAGCATATGCATGATGAAAGCGCATTTTTGGTAATGCAGATCAGTGTTTCATTAGCAAAGTTTAAAATTATCGATCTCACGAGTAATCTCACTCAAAATAGGCTAGTGCCTGCACATCTACAATATAACAAAAAGCTTTTAGTGAAAATTTAGTCTCTATCAATTGTAATTGCTGAGATCTCAGCCGGACAGCCAGCCAGCCAGCCAGCCATAACGAATATAACAGCGTATTTTTTTCCAAAAAGTGGGTTCTGGTGATCACGATCAACAGCTACGCAATCCAAAATTTGGGCAATGTAATTTTCCCATGAATCCATAAATAATCATCGAAATGATTTGCAAATTAGAAGCACGTGTGGTATTAATTTTTTCCAAGATTGTTTCTAAAACATTAAAAGAAGGTCATCACACAAAAGCCTCTCAATATTGAACTATGTTATGGTCCTTGAGGTGGACTTGTATAAAAGCTGACCTGAGAAAGTTACACAATGAATACTGCTAATGTTCTACTCACCATTTCTACTGTCCTAGCTGCTGCCCGCGCTTTCGATGCTAAGGTGAGAACTCTTCAACGTTCCCCCTTACTAAAGGTACTCTTCTCCAGGTGGAAACCCAAGTAATATTTGACAGATGGAGAAACCGCACCGAACAGGAACATCCCGAGTGCTCGAAAACGTGGCCTATAACGGACGACGAGAGGGATAAGTACTTTCGCCAGTACACACTGACGGATACGCCTACTTTCAAGTGTTACCTTCATTGCATCTTCAAGTCCTTTAATCTTATCGGCGAGGACGGAGGTGTCAACAGGGATCAGTTCTATAAAATGTTTGAGAGGATGACCTACGAGATGGTGGACTTTTGTGATGGTAGGGTTGTCGAGAAGGTCGACAATTGCGAGAAGACCTTCGAGCTAATCAATTGCCTATTGCATTACGAGAAGGTGTACGCTTGAAGCTATTTAGCGGGGGGTGTAGAAGTAGTATAAGGTTATTACAATTACTGAATCATTAAGTCACGTACGTTACATGGGCCTTAAATGTAAATATATTTCAAAATCGAAACTTTTTAAATTTGTTCTTAAGTTTTAGGTTCTTTTCGGTTGTATGGTAAAGATGTACAGTAATAGGTAGTAGTAGAGATATGATATAACCACTCCACTGCCCACCACCTTTGGAGGAAGCAGCATGTGACGTGGTGTAGAATTTGTAGAACCTTCACCTGTGCAGGTTGAGAACTTCAAAATTCAAGACCCTAAAAGCAATCCATTAAACTATGGACTCCACACTCAAGGTTCTAGATTCAACGCCTTAGGCACAAACCTCAAGGTTCTAGATGAGAGATTCTAGACTGGAGTCTAGACTCAAGAGTCAAGGCTGAAGAGAAATCCTACGGCGTCTTTAAACGCTCTTCGGATAGAGGGAATATGTCTTTTTGGGAAAATTTGTAAAGAAAAGTCCACGCAAACCCCTGATCCAGCACTGAAATTTCGACTTACCATATAGTTAAAGAAAATTACACAGGTATCTAATTTTATGTTGGACGTTTCGTATCAATTTAAAAAACGCGGTAGGAATCGAATAGGCTCCTACGTTGTGTTATATTACGACGGTTGTTTTAATGTGTTGGGACGTGAGACACATTCCGGAAGCGAATTAAATAAAACTTTTTCTGCCAAACTTCAAACTCCAAAATCCCTGCTCGTGGTTTGCGTAAAACGGTCGAAGTCGAAAATTTTTCACGATTGTGATATACAGAGCGTTTCCTATTTTTTTCATACTGCCATTCGTTCCTCTAACCATAGTTATGGTGCGGGGCCCTCCCTGGATGTATCTTTCCTCTTTCCAGGAACATGAATATTAAATTATGTACTTTACACTAGCACTGTATACCCAGAGGCGTTTCTTCTTCCTCTACTACATAGACAGCCTACTTCGCTCACCTTGTCCAGGTGTCTTTTTGTTCGACAGTGGCATTCCTACTGAGTCTTGGCCCTTGGGTTGGAGGGCACATCGCCTTGTGATTGATATTGGTATTCTTCTAGTGTTTCCCATTCTGATTTTCATATAATGCTACCCTTAACTCCACTGCCATTCAGTCTTCCGGCAACAAATTTGCGCCCAATTGGTGTGAAAATGACTGACACCGACAGCACTTCGTTCACCATGACCGGCGAAATACGGAAGGAAGTAATCCGATCCCGCGGCTCAACTAGGACGACAAACAGCGGGAAATGCGCCGCCAGGGGGTTACTTGTGGCCAGTTGGGGTATGGCGCTGTGGTGTCTCTGGAAAAGTGGGCGCCTCTCAGTACCTCTGCTGACTCAGAGAGGTTGTGCCTCCCAATCGGCGGTAGCTTTGCTCTTCTTTGCATTATTGCCAACTGCAGTTTTCTGCTTTTCGAGCGCCACGCGCCACCAGGGATGGTTATAAGGTGTCTTGGCATTCCTGAGAGGACATACTTGTTTAAATGACTCCACAATGGAGTTGGTCAGAAGATTTACTTTGCCCTGTAGGTCAGCAGGACCTGTGAGGTATCTCCTGAAACGGTTGTTTCTCTCCAAGGAGGGGTTTATAATGGGAAATATCCGTTACCTTGGGGTTACGTTAAGCCTTTGGGACGGCTCCCTTGCAGTTAATTTGGAATGATAATTATCTATGGTCTGACATAGTCACTTATGGGGTGACTTGTCAGTTGGCCAAGGGTACTCCATGATGCCAGACTGAGAGATCAATCACAGTCTGCCTTCGGGTACAGTAACTGTATTAGGACAGTGCCGACAACTTATCACAATCCGCCATATTGGAGCTAAAAAACTGTTTGATTGTATGATCAATGTACCTTGTCATGTCAAATTGTGACTGTAGAATAATAAATGTCAGTTTTTATTTATTTTTTTAAAATCTAATGCTAAACTTTAAACCAACTCATGCATAGTTATGATCACAACTGTGTTATCCATAGCCACAATTGATTTTGCTGGTAAATTTGGTATAAGCTGCTTTTCTAACCAGTTTTCTATCTAAACTCATCATTTAAGGCTTCTGGAACAATTTTTACATCAATTACCACTAATAAGGTTAGGGACAGTTTTACACCTGGTTTTACATATAAAAACACTTTAAGCAAATTACATACCTTATAATATCGTAACCCTAAGCTATATGCGCCTTGAAAAATACGATGTTATATAAAACTGGTGAGGAAAAAATAGCAAATGAAAGAAGCAAAGTGTAAACTAGTAACTTTAAGCCGTAAAGCGTGAACTGTCAAAACAGTATAATTTATAATTATAGCACGGAGTGTACCCCGTCGTTTGGGAGGCCAGTTTGAAATTTAGCTCCAATATGGCGACCGGAACCAACGACCAATCAAAAACGAGATACCCTGTTGTCGCCACTGTTCTAAATTGAGTCACTTTAGCTTCGGGTAGTTACGATCGTGGACCACCCTGATTTCGAATCTCTAGATTAGTATTTGTCAGAGATTCAAGTAATGATTTACCCCTAGAGTTGACGTTAGTGCTCCCCCATGTAGTATGGTGAACATTTGATTCACGCCCTATAATGTCTTTTCCAGGGTGTTCTATCGGTTCTGCCATCAGTACATCAGGTTGACAGAATTTCATGGGAGATGTATTGATGCTACTACTTATTGAGCTTTACCCTGTATGTCATAACTTCACTGTATAGTCGCGGTATCACGGCCACACAGATGTGATAGCAGAAGAGCTTTCAGGTAGGAACATAAATACTTCATGGTCTAGGTTTTTCTTGCCGTGTATCAAAGAAAACGGTTCTTTTTTTTCTGCCCACTAGACCAGAAACCCCGTAATTTAACCACTCAGGGTTCTTGAATGTGGGGAAATGTCCTGCTTTACAGTGACGCGTCTGCCTAACAATCGTACAGTGTTGCAGATATATTTGGTATAAAATTCTCTTTTATAGTTATGTATGTAGGTAATAGCAACGCTGGAGCAAGCACAGAGTACAGCTCGCCTTGTCAGCCTGGGCGGTGATGCTTCTGTAGCTTCTTGCAGTTGCCCCTGTAGCAGCTGATGGTGTAGTTGTGGTGGTTGTACTCCCCACCTCAGGTTCAGCAAGTTTTAGCCTGGTCATTTTCCTCGAAGCCGAAAGCTATCAGGCGCCCTTGAGGTTGATCCTTCACGGCTGTGTGTGTAGTTGTGGTGGTTGAACTGAACCTAGGTGCTAATGTAACGCCATTTATCAGGTAGCTAAGATCACAATCAAAAATTAGCTCTTAAACATAATCTCATTAAAGATACTACAAATACACTCCACAGATAATACTTGAAAACAACACGCATAAATTAGATTGGGATAGGACACTACTCACGGTCGAAACTATTCACAATAACAGACCAGACATTACACTTATTGCTCACCGTAGGTAATTGTTTTTTTTATTGTCGTTTGAGCAATTTTGAAACAGTAAAATACTGCTCTTCAGTACGTGAGCAGTCGCTTTTCGGAGGCGTTAGTTACCGTTTGTCGTTTTTTGTATGTGCGTGTGCGGTTTTGGCGTCGAAAAAAATTGGGACACAAAGACAAAGCAATGATTTGAATTCAGTGTAAACTAAGAACCAACGAAGAAGACGAATAGACAGTATGTTGTCATTGAGTGTTGTGGAAGAATGAAGCCATGAGTTCGCATGTGTTGTTATATAAGCCATTACATTCATGTATTTATCAACGTATGCACTAACGTTACGTTAGTCAGCGAATCACTCACCCGCAAATGTACGGTGCGAGTAACTAAGACTCCATACTTAATTATTGGAACTTTTTATTAAGTTAACATAAAAGGACTCCTCCAATTTTGGAGGTGGTAAAAATTTTTAAGATCCTGTCTAAGCTTTTTGAAAGTGCTCTTTCCCCATCTCTTTATTTACATATAAGGTAAATTTTCAAATTTTGGTCTTTGGGAACGATGAATTGAAATGAAAAACAAAAGTATTGCAAAAAAGTGTAAACGCGCCATAAACTATTTAATTGTCTTGAATTGCAAAATAAAAGTACTCGGTGTTTATTTTCTCTGAACAATTAAAAGGTCATCACACAAAAAACCTCTCAATATTGAAATATGTTACGGTCCTTGAGTTACACTTGTATAAAAGCTGGCCTGAGAAAAACACAATAAGTTCTACAATGAATATTGCTAAGGTACTACTCACTATTTCTGCAGTGCTCGTTTTTGCCCGAGCTTTTGAGGCTGAGGTTAAAGCGCTTCAACGTTCCTCTTTAACTAATCTGTTCTTCCACAGGTGGAAACCAAGGTAATATATGACAGATGGAGAAACCGTATCGAACAGGAACATCCCGAGTGCGCGAAGACGTGGCCCATAACTGACGACGAGAGGGAAGGGTACTTCCGCCATGGCGAAGTGGCGGATACCCCTACTTTCAAGTGTTACGTTCATTGCGTTTTCAAGAGCTTTAATCTTGTCAACGAGGACGAAAGCGTTAACAGGGATGAGATCTATAAGATGTTTGAGAGGATGACCTATCAGATGGTGGACTTTTGTGGTGGTAGGGTTCTCGAGAAGACCCACAATTGCGAGAAGACCTTCGAGCTTGTCAATTGCCTATTGCATTACGAAAAGGTCTACACTCTTTAGCTGTGGTGCACAAGTAGAGTGAATAATAATCCAAAAATAGTGTCAAAATCAAAAATGTTACTGGTGGATGTAGGGTGACTTAAAGCAGCGATCTAAAAATAAACGTGAAACCGCACCCACAGACGGTTCGATATTAATCAAATTAGATCTTAAGTCCTAATGTTTGTTCAGAGCCCCAGTGACATGTAATTGGAATTTTAATTCTGTATGGTGTCTGGTTAAACAAATAAATATGGCTTCAATGCTTTAAGTCAAATAAATCCACATTCAAATTTTCAAATTCCAATATCTGTTGGCACTCTGTATTCACGGGTCCTAAATGTAAATATATTTACAAATCGGGTTGTTCTTAAGTTTTATTTCCTCTTCGGCTGTGTTCGAGACATAAGACTAAAATTAGAGTAAATTTAAATTCCTTGTGCAAATTTTGGAGCCCCGTCACACTGCAGGAGTGCAAATTGGAAAACTTATCTTTGAAAATTGATGCGCAGTAACGGTACGGTCACGACCCCACTGCCCAATCGGTACACTAAATAGCAGAGTGCAATACCAACGAAAAAATAATTTAAAAAAAATTCAGGTCGTTTACAAACAAACGTACAGTAGATGTTCGCCACATTCATTCGCATAAATACACTTCTTGATAGGACCCATTCAACTTTATTTATAAGGGAATCTGATGCAATGTATAATGGATCACTGTCAGGTGGTAAAAGAAAATTAATTGTAGTTCTGTAAACATAGAAAACAATTTCGAAAAAAAATTCAAAGAGCTGTAACTTTTGAACTAGTAGCTCAATCTTGGAACTGTTTGAAATTATGGATTCTACAGGCCACACTCTATAAGAAAATTTCTTTTCCGGGTCGATCTGAGACAATTTTTTCTTCGGGGCTCAAAAAAAGGCAGTGTATAACCTTCCTTTTTTAACAAAAATCAACTACACCAAAATTTCTCGGGAAAACACTTTTTTTATTAATTTGGGTGCGTAGAATCCAAATCAATTCGTACTTTTTCGATCAGACTTCTCAATCAAAAGTTATAGACTAGAAAAAAAATTTCGAAAAAAAATTCAAAGGGCTGTAACTTTTGAAATAGTAGCCCAATCTTGGAACTGTTTGAAATTATGGTTTCTACAGGCCACATTTTATAAGAACATTTTTTTCCGGATCGATCTGAGACAATTTTTTTTTCGTGGCTGAAAAAAAGGCAGTGTATAACCTTCCTGTTTTACCAAAAATCGACTGCACCAAAATTTCTCGGAAAAACACTTTTTCTTATTAATTTTGGTGCGTAGAATCCAAAACAATTCGTACTTTTTCGATGAAACTTCTCAATCAAAAGTTACTAGGTAGAAACCAATTTCGAAAAAAAATTCAAAGGGATGTAACTTCTGAACTAGTAGCCCAATCTTGAAACTGTGTGAAATTATGGATTCTAAAGACCACATTCCACATTCAGATACCAACAATCAAGGAACAAGAATGAAGTAGGTACCATGCAACAAGCAGCGAGGATCAAAGGCGAGGTATTCGGTGAGAGTAAGGAGCCAAATGCAAGGATAAAAGAATAGAAATCAATGATCCTTGTGAAAAGACGAAAGATCAAAAACTAAAGGAGACAAAATAAACGAGACGAATACGTGCAAGGAAGGGGGCGATGGATGGAACGGAAAATATTGGAAAGTGGCTAAAAGACCAGCTATAGCAATGAGGCCAAAAGCCATAAGGATACGAAAAATCAAAATCCAGACTCAGTGGCATTATTTATTTATTTAGTATCCCTCTCTTGTTCTGGACCCTCAACAGGCTTGCGCCCAATTAATTAGGCTGACCCGCGTAATTCTTTTTAGAGACGTATGGCGCAAAAAAGATAAAAGAAGAATGTAACGAAACGAAGGAGAAAAAGAAAACAAGAGAAAGAAAAATGGAAAATAGGTATAAGACGAGACGAATAGGTATTAGGCATGGAAGAACTAAACGAACTGGAAAGGTGGAAATGAAAATAATAAGAATAAAAGAAGAACAATGACACCAATAAACCATACATCGCAGTACGCAACCGTGCCCGACAGCAGAAAGTGAGAGAGCAGCGTTATAATCAAGGAATAGGGGGAGAGAAGCCAAAGAATACACAAGAATTAAAGACCAGAGAAAAGGGATTAGATAACCTAGATAACAACGAAATGAAGTTATCTTGCTGAACGCAGAAAACGCAAGTGGAATACAAACAGGAGGAAAGCAAAAACAGCAAGGACATTCAAGAGCCAATAGCACAGGAAATCTCAAAGTATTTTTAATAAAGAAAAGAGGAAGAGAATAGGAGGAAGAAGCAAGGAAACATTTAGAAGCCGAACTAGAACCATTACAAAAAAACAGCAAAATCTACCGATCACTGCCCACAACAAAGACAGAACAGAAAAAAAAACAGGAGAAAAACCAGAAAACATGGAGGAAATTAAAAACATGATGATAACCCTTAACAAGATTATGATGGAAATGAGAAATGACAGAAAAGAAATAACGGAAATGAAAGAAGAGTTTAAAAAGGAAATGCAGGAACCGAAGAGGCAAAATTAAGGGAAGGAAGTAAAATGGAAATGGAACAAAGAAAACGAGAACTAGAGGAGAGAATAAACAAACTAGAATGGAGACTGGAAAAAGAGGAAAGGATGAAGAAAACAAAATAACGTTATAATTAAAGGAGAAGGAGCAAATAATATTAAGGCAACCGACGCAATAAATTTTCTAAGAAATGAATTAAAAATAAATATTTCCACTACAGAAGCCCGTACAATACAAAATAGAGAACGAAAAATAGGGATTCTAACAAAATGTACAAACTGGGAGGAAAAAAATGGAATCAGCGGAACAGACAAGCCCTAAGAGATGAAAAGGTATATATCGATCACAACCTGACGTTTACAGAAAGAGAAGTGCAAAAGATCAGAGAAAGGTTGGAGGAAGAAAAAGGCAACACAACAAAAATGGGCTATATGAAGCTCATGATAAATGATACATCGTTTAAGTGAGTGAGTAAGACGAAAGAGATGGTAATTTAACGACAAAAAACTAAACAAGCATACACAATCGGGGACGAGAGGGAAGATCACACAAACAATATTAACAAAAGAACAAACAGGTGACAACAAACACAAACAAAAAAAGGAAAGAAAAGAAAAAAGAAAACATGACAAAAAAGGAATCATCAAATTGGATTCTGGAACGTGGCGGAAATCAGCAACAAGGATAAAGAATTTTGGGAGAATCTACGTGAAAGCTTATGATGTAATTGGCATGATAGAAGTATGGGTAGAGTAAAAATATTGGGAAAATTGGGAGAAAAAAATACCGAAAGACTTTGAATGGGAATATCAATACGCCAGAAGGGAAAACAAGAAAGGAAGAGCCAAAGGGGAATATTAACAGGTGTAAGAAAAACGATAAAAACTGAAAAAACGATGCGGCAACACGAAAAAAAGAAGAATTACAAAAAGAAGAAATAATAGAAATACAAAGCATCAAAAACAAAAATGAAGTGTGGAAATTTATAAACAAAGGGAGGAAAAATAAAGAAGGAATATCGGACGACATTAGAGAAGAAGAAGGGAATAACTACTTTATACAAAGTTTAAACGAACAGATAAGCTTCAGAGGGGAAAAAACAAAAAGAAGAAGTGAAAGGGAGGATAAAGAAATAGGGGAAGAAGAAATAGAAGCAGAAGTAGCAAAAATGAAAACAAAGCTCATGGACCAGACCAAATAACAAATGAAATGATAATACATGCGCTGGAAAACGTGAAACAGTAAATCACAAAAATTATTAACAGAGTATGGAGAAGAGGAGGATTTCCGGAAAGTTGGAATAAAGGAGAAATATGCCGAATATACAAAAAAGGAAACAAATATGACATCAACTATTGGGGAATCACACTCCTAAACTCAACCTAATGGACCTAATCAAAGTTGAAGTCAATAACAAACACAGACTATTTTTGGACGGAAAATGGAGTCAGGTAGGATATCCGCTAAGGGCAACCCTTTTCAACGTTTATGTGGCAGACCTGGAAGAAGCATTAAGAAAATGGCAAGCAGGAGGAATAAAAATTGGATGACAAAAGGACGACATGGTGCTCCTTGTAACAAAACAATCAGAAATGAAGAAAATGATCACAAAGTTAGAAAGATACGCAAGAAGAAAGACATTCATAATAAATACAAAAAATCAAAAAATAATGGATTTTTCCAAAAAGGGAGAAAGAAGAATAAGGACGAGACATCGTGTAAAATCGAAGGAAGAGAAATAGATCGAGCGGATACAAAACAAATACCTAAAATGGATCCTAGGACTGGCAAGAGTTACCCCAAACAGTGGACGGAAGGAAGAAGAAGATATTTCCAAAAGAACGGGTATGCAGAAGATGGGGCGGAAAGATTAAGGAGAGGAGTAAATATACCAATGATTATGAAGGAGAGAGACAAAGACAACCAATTACAATACCAAATCAATCGAATAGAAAGCAGCAGCTACAATACCACGTACAAAGGAATAAAAACATTACACTTGTCAAAATATCTACAGAAAAACAACAAAAATATAAAAACCATTGCAAGATTTAGATGCGGAAATGAAAATAGGACCGGGAAAAGATGGAAGGAAGAAAAGTGCAGGCTATGTAAGGAAGAAACAGAGACGATAGAACACGTGATATACAGATTCACAAAACCAAGACGAGCAAAGCAGTAAAGGAAATATTACAGGAAGATGGAAGAGGAATTTACTGGATGAGAAGGACGTTGCAGAGAAGAGAGGAAGCGAAAAAGTGGAATAAGAATAAACATTATATAGCTATTTCGGGTGTTGTACTACTTAGTATCATTATATACAGGGTGTCCCTAAAAGGTCTGTACAACGCGCTACCAGGGGTTCTTGGTATCAAAATAGGACGATTTAACCCAACTTACCTCTATCCAAAAGTGCCTCGGTAAGGCGCTATCTACCGCCAAAGATTAAAAAAAATCGTTGTTTTTATTTTATCGGAAAATGGTTTTGCCGATTAAAATGAAATTCGGGATGTGAATGTCTAATGTAAAAAGGGTCTTTGTAATATAATCGTTTTGATTGTAGTTGCTATGTAGGTGGTAAAATACTGACCATCCACATTTGAAGAGGTCTAAAACTTTTTAACTACTATTTTGACGGTTCTGAATTTTTAGACACTGATAGACAGTTTACTTGCAAGCATTTTTTGTCTCTTGATGAATATCGCTATCTGTGATGGTTTACGAAAAAAAAAAAAAAATTTAGGCATGATGAATGGCATGCACCATACAAGCGATTGTTCCTC